TAGGAATGAACACATTTATTATGTTTATTCAAAATAAAACTGCTTCTTATTACTTCTGTAACATGTTTAAAAGAAAATATTATCAATAAAAATCATCAAATCATGTCCTGTTTCTACAAATTGTCTTTGTAACACTTCAGAAGAACTCTAAACTCATGTAGATATAAAAGACAACAATTAAAGATGCAACTATAAAAAAAAACTTCCTTTCAATCACTAAAAATAATTTATTTACCACATTTTAAATCTGTGCTCTAAAGGGTTAATGCTGCTGAGACCGTCTGTGCTGCGGCTGGATGGTGACTCACAGACAGCAGTTCATTTTGTCTGGATTTATGGTGTTTTGAGTTCACAAACTACTCTGGCTACTTTTTTAAAAGTTGAGGGACATTACATTAGCTCGTAGCTGCGCTGCTGATCAGCGCTATTTTTAGAACAGGCATGGAGCCGCTGACTCCCRGTCACAYGGGGGTCTGTGTTGGTGTTTCTTGCTGTATCTGAGTAATTATTGATAAGGTAACCACGATGTAGCTTCACCTGTCGTGTCTTCCTCGAAAGAAAAAAGGTAGCTCAAAGCTGTCGCATCACACACACATACATGCCTTGCTACTTTTGTGAGGACCACACACAGCCTCGCTCTACGAAGAAGAACCTGCGGTGTTGGTTTTTCAAAATAAAGTACACTGCTCAAAAAAGTAAAGGGAACACTTAAACAACGCACGCTAAGTCCAAGTAAATCAAACTTTTGTGAAGCACATTCAACTCTGTACAGAACAAAGTACTCAATGCGAATATTTCACTGATTAAGATCGGGAGTTAGCATGCGTTGTTTAAGTGTTCCCTTTACTTTTTTGAGCAGTGTATATCTTAACTTTTTATTGATGTTTAAATATGGTTTCAAAGTCTGATTATGGTTAGTATAAGAGCGCAAATATAGGATATAAATATATATGATATGCTTTACATTGTTTTAGCCTAATATAGGCCTATTATTAAAAAAAAWAATAAAACTTCATTCTGAAAGTGCGGCGGCTATGATTTTTGCCGTGGTGGTGCATCACTATCAATTACAAGTAGGGGAAACCCTGCAAATGCTTCAAGCTTTAACACCTGCTGGTTATGTATTCATACCAATACAGCAGTTTTGTTCTGCACAAGCACAGCTGCAGGGCGGCTCCTCTGACATCTACCGAACATCAATCCATGTGCTGTTGCTGAGCATGAACGACTCCACAAAATCAGCTCTTACAGACTGCCTGTGAAGTTTGTGTGTGTGAGTGTGTGTGTGTGTACCTGTGATTTCTGGTGCAGCAGCAGACACTCATCCAGATGAGCCAGGGTTCGATCCACCGACTTCCTGACCCTTTTGCGAGACGTGTTGATCTGCCAGGTCTCTCCATCTGCCATGGTGTGGTACCAGTCCGGCTGCACCATCTTCTGGAGAGCCATAAACCTGGCCACCGACAGCTCGACCCGCCCACCGGTGCCCCACAAGGACACMGTCTAGTGATGGGGTGGTCAGAAACAGAGGAACTGACGTTCATAAGAGCTCAAAGAGGAGCACTTTGAGAAACACTTCTAAATAAGGACACAGCGAATGATCAAACAAATCGGCCAAACAAATCCTAAAAATCAGGTTAAATATTTAGCCTAAAACCTGCAGTGTGAACATAAGCTTTACATTAATTTCCCCACTCCCTGAKTCACCTCAAATGCCCCCTCAAGACCTCTGGCGCCCCCTAGAGGAGATGTGCCCCACAGTTTGAAAACCTCTGTGTTAGTTTGTTGAAAAAAAAACCCTTATCTCCAAACCAGAGCTTTTCAAAAACCAAATATCAGCATCACCCCACAAAACCAGAATCTGTGCATCTCTACTCCTAAAGATCAAAACCACCATCTGCAGGTKATGATGCACTACAGCAGGCCTCGACTCACCTTGTTAGTAATGTAGCCTGTCGGGCTAAGAACTGCAGGGTCGTAAAGCGAGCAGTACAACACTGTATCATGAAGGCCTGAAGGGAAAAAAAAGAAAGCAAACAAAGCCAGCTGTCAGGGACRAACGTTTCATTACTTAATGATGAACTTTATCAGCTGCAACCAGCTGCAGCCAAAAGATGGGAAGGTGAGGAAAAGACAAAGAGACCTAATTATTATTTCCAGTGGTTAAAACACCACCTTTCCTTTCTGGAGCTTTGGAGACAACATTGTGCAAATCCTGTGACAGTTTACATGAAGACACACATTTATTACAGTTCTCATTGTAAATTTACTCATCAGTGGCCAAGTAATGCTGTGAACTATGGCTAATGTTGACCAGAAGAGATCACTTTTAATGGGATTTATGTAAGAAATTGACAAAAAAACTTAAAGTACTCTCCAATTGAGCTCACAAAGCTAATGAGTTTTTCAGCAACCCACTCTAAATGCTGTTTAATTTAGATTTTTTTTAACAAAAAGTGTTTAGATATGCCACTTTTACAGCCCATTCGAAACCTCGAAACCCCTTAATTTAAAAAAAGGTGTGAATTTACATGTTTTCAGCCTTACAACATTTAGATGTAAACATAGAAAGCAGCATATTTTTGTACCTGCAAACTTTCTGAACCCATCTTTGAACTCTTCCAGCACTTCTTGATGCTCTGCTCTGGAGAGGGACGCAGGTTTAAGATAAAAAGATGTAAACAGTGTGAATGTGTGGTGGTTTTAACTCACATGTGGGACAGAGTGACCTGGGTGACAGAGGGGAGGTTGCTGATGGTGTGCAGCGTGTCCTGGGTGAGGTGGGGGACCGTGCCCAAGTGGGTGTACAGCAGACACCCCGGAACGTCCAGCGAGTGCTGCCCGGTCCTCCCGAGACCCTTCAGTACGCCCAACCGTGCCCTGCCCTGAAGCACACGGGACAGCTCCAGCTGTACCCTGCTGCCAGCCATAACAGCAGCTCCAGAGGAAATTATTTAACAGGCTAACCGAACAACTCTAGTAGATCTGAGCTGCGAAGCTTCCACGTCGCCGGTGAAATTACTCACAGAGGAAGCTAGCATTAGCGGTTAGCATTGTTACGTTTCACTCATTAGTAAAGTTTAATGCTGTTGAGTTGTTACGTGAAATCTCCAAATACATGTGGCCTTATCTTTATTTATATGTGTTAAACTTTAATGTTCCTTACCGTAAACTCATGCTTTCCTGTGAACTACAAGTCGGGGAGATATGACGTCATCATCAGCGACGGCAGCAGGAACAGGAAAAAAACCGGGTTCTTTTTCATTTCGAATTTTAAAAATATATGTTCTTTACGAAGTAGTATTTTAAAACAATTATATGTTAAGTTCTGGTTAATTTTATTTTTATCTTATTTAAAAAATTAAACAAAATTAATTGGCATGGTTACCAGTGAGACTCTAGAGCCTACTGGGATTCGTAGTTTTAAAAACCTTAATTTGCGTAAAAAGGGTTAATAAAGCTAATCAGTTTACTACATTACCCAGAGTTCTTTACGGTGTAGGATGTTAGGTTTGTTGCCTCTGCGTTTTGGTTTGTGGCAGCTTCTAAACTCAGTGCGACTAGTTAAATGATTAGTTGAGAATTTTTTAACGCATATTGTTATAAAGATATTTTTTTCAAAACTTCGTAATCAAGATTTAGGAGTACAATATATTGTAAACTGGCTTAAAACGGGGGCAATGACGTCTCACAATTCTCACCTGTTCAGGTGGAAGAGGCTCGGGACTGCACCCAAGGTAAATTTAAATAACCATTAAATTTTTTTTTTAAAAAGCCTGCTTTTAATAACTTAGTTTATCACTTAACTTCATATGAATACAGAAAACCAAAACTAACATATTCAGGCATCTGTCTATCATTACCAAAACCTCTAGATTCATAATAGGAAAAAAAAGAGAAAAAATAATTTGGATTTTATTTTATAAACACATGCCTGTGAAGAACGACATTGACC